ACGCACGCTCAAACACACACGCACACACACACAAACACACACGCACAAACACACATGCACAAACACACGCGCGCTCAAACACACACACACACACGCACGCACGCTCAAACACACACGCACACACACACAAACACACACGCACAAACACACATGCACAAACACACGCGCGCTCAAACACACACACACACACGCACAAACACACACGCGCGCTCAAACACACGCACACACACGCTCAAACACAAACGCACACACACACACACAAACACACACGCACAAACACACACACACGCTCAAACACACGCAGACACACGCTCAAACACACGCACACACACACGCGCGCACAAACACACACGCACGCTCAAACACAGGCACACACACGCTCAAACACACGCACACACACGCTCAAACACACACACACACACACAAACACACACGCACAAACACACACGCACAAACACACACGCGCGCTCAAACACACGCACACACGCTCAAACACACGCACACACACGCTCAAACACACACACACACGCACGCTCAAACACAGGCACACACACGCTCAAACACACGCACACACACGCTCAAACACACACACACACACACAAACACACACGCACAAACACACACGCACAAACACACACGCGCGCTCAAACACACGCACACACGCTCAAACACACGCACACACACGCTCAAACACACACACACACGCGCACAAACACACACGCGCGCTCAAACACACGCACACACACACGCACGCAAGCACGTACGCTCAAACACACACGCACACACACAAACACACACGCACAAACACACACGCACAAACACACACGCGCGCTCAAACACACGCACACACGCTCAAACACACGCACACACACGCTCAAACACACACACGCGCACAAACACACACGCGCTCAAACACACGCACACACACGCTCAAACACACGCACACACACACGCACGCACGCGCTCAAACACACGCACACACACGCTCAAACACACGCACACACACACGCACGCACGCACGCTCAAACACACACGCACACACACACAAACACACACGCACAAACACACACGCACAAACACACACACGCGCGCTCAAACACACGCACACACGCTCAAACACACGCACACACACGCTCAAACACACACACGCGCACAAACACACACGCGCGCACAAACACACACACACACACACACATACACAAACAGACATTCATACACACTCACTCACACAAATTCATAAACACACACACACACACACTCACTCACAAACACACTGAAAGTTCAAAAGTTGTTGAATTAGAGTATTATTATTACAGCTTTTCAAAAACAAAATGCATAAGTGTGTTCAGTGTGAACGATCCTAACGAGGTCTGACCGTATGAAGATGTTCGTAAGCGACTCACGGCGGTTTCACACGGCAGGTGTTAGCAGAGCGTTAGCAGCGCGGCGTCAGCGCGTCAGCAGTGTGTACGGTGAGCGGGAGCAGGTGTTAGCAGCGCGGCGTCAGCGCGTCAGCAGTGTGTACGGTGAGCGGGAGCAGGTGTTAGCAGCGCGGCGTCAGCGCGTCAGCAGTGTGTACGGTGAGCGGGAGCAGGTGTTAGCAGAGCGTTAGCAGCGCGGCGTCAGCAGTGTGTACGGTGAGCGGGAGCAGGTGTTAGCAGCGCGGCGTCAGCGCGTCAGCAGTGTGTACGGTGAGCGGGAGCAGGTGTTAGCAGAGCGTTAGCAGCGCGGCGTCAGCAGTGTGTACGGTGAGCGGGAGCAGGTGTTAGCAGCGCGGCGTCAGCGCGTCAGCAGTGTGTACGGTGAGCGGGAGCAGGTGTTAGCAGAGCGTTAGCAGCGCGGCGTCAGCAGTGTGTACGGTGAGCGGGAGCAGGTGTTAGCAGCGCGGCGTCAGCGCGTCAGCAGTGTGTACGGTGAGCGGGAGCAGGTGTTAGCAGCGCGGCGTCAGCGCGTCAGCAGTGTGTACGGTGAGCGGGAGCAGGTGTTAGCAGCGCGGCGTCAGCGCGTCAGCAGTGTGTACGGTGAGCGGGAGCAGGTGTTAGCAGCGCGGCGTCAGCGCGTCAGCCGTGTGTACGGTGAGCGGGAGCAGGTGTTAGCAGCGCGGCGTCAGCGCGTCAGCAGTGTGTACGGTGAGCGGGAGCAGGTGTTAGCAGCGCGGCGTCAGCGCGTCAGCCGTGTGTACGGTGAGCGGGAGCAGGTGTTAGCAGCGCGGCGTCAGCAGTGTGTACGGTGAGCGGGAGCAGGTGTTAGCAGCGCGGCGTCAGCAGTGTGTACGGTGAGCGGGAGCAGGTGTTAGCAGCGCGGCGTCAGCGCGTCAGCAGTGTGTACGGTGAGCGGGAGCAGGTGTTAGCAGCGCGGCGTCAGCAGTGTGTACGGTGAGCGGGAGCAGGTGTTAGCAGCGCGGCGTCAGCGCGTCAGCAGTGTGTACGGTGAGCGGGAGCAGGTGTTAGCAGCGCGGCGTCAGCAGTGTGTACGGTGAGCGGGAGCAGGTGTTAGCAGC